TAAGTTTATGTCATTTAATGACAGGAATATGTTCTGAGAAATGTGTCATTATATGATTTAGTCATTGCGGAACATCATAGCATGTACTTACACAAACTAGATGGTACAGCCTAATACACACCCAGGCTATATGGTGTAGCCTGTTGTTCCTAGGCTATAAAACTGTACAGCATGTTACTGTACTGAATTTTACAGCCAATTTAACACAATGGTAAGAAATTGTGTACAATTATGTGCAATTACCTACAGATATTAAAAAGTTATAGTAAGAAGACAGTATTAAAGACTTTTAAAATATTACACTTGTGTAGGGAACTTAAAGCTTACAGGCCTGGAAGTTGCTCTCGGTGAGTCATTGAAGGAGTGAGTGGTAAGTGAATGCGAAAGCCCAGGACATTAATGTACACTTTGCAAACTTCAGAAATATTGCAAATTTTGGCTACACTAAATTTATAAAGAAATTTCTTTCTTCAATTATATATTAATCTTAGCATACTGTAACTTCCTTTCTTTATAAACTTTATAATATGTTAACTTTTTGACTCTGACAATAACACTTAGTTTAAAACCAAAACACCTTGCACAGCTGTACAAAAATATTTTCTTTCTTCATATCCAAAATAAGGTAGAAAATTAAATGTAAATATCAAAATTAGGTATAACAAATTATATTAAAAAAATCAACAAAATCCCTGCCATTCAGTGTTTAAAAACAGGTTCCATAAATCTGAAGAGAAATATTTTCCCATATATCAAGTACTATAATAAATTTTGGCAAAAAAGGCTCTGATAAATGTAAAAGGGAATATTAGTCATTGTCACCATGATCCCTGATAAGTGAAGACATGAAAACCATAAATGTACATATACAGAGACACCAGAATGTCATTAATTTGGATTTGCAAAAGCAGACATCTTCTATTCTACTAATGAAAGGGTTAGCTTCTATCTAGTTCAGATGTGTGCTGTGAGTGCACAATTAACTTCTACTGAGATCCATAATCATGGATTGTTTCCAGTTTTAAACACTGTTTGTCAAATGATGCTTTTTGTATACAATTTTAAGCCATGAGAACTGATTCTTTTGGGGGGAAGTGGTAAAAATCATTTAGAAATTAGACTTAGATTTTATTTTTACAAAAATTTCTTAGACATTCTGATGTTTTAACACACTTGGATAATTTTCATTTACAACTTTTAAGCTTTGGACAAAAAACCTTGTTAAAGTGACAAATAAATTATAGGAAGGAAATTCAATAAGACAAATTCAAATAACATAAAGAGTTACTCTTAATGCAAGGTAAGAAATATGTACACAAATATTTACGACAATATTTAATAAAAATTTACTATGTATAGATCTTTTAACCTACCTAAGGATAATTTATAGTAAATAATGTATTATTAAAATAAAATATGTTTTTAAATATATTAAATTTCTTCTAGATATCTTCTTTTCTCTATTAGTATGCATAGCTTATTCTTTTTTCCCTCTTTAATTTCAGATCTCATTCTATTTAAATCATCCTAAATTTTCAATTAGAGAAAAATTTCATTGCAAAGGTTTTACTAAATTGCTGGGGGATATTAGTCCATTTTAACTTTGAAATTAAATTATAAACTGTTTTGCTACATAATAAAGAGAGCTTACAGAATTTGGACAGTGATTAAAATAATTTAAAAATATGTAGTCAGTAGTCATCTCATTAATTTCCAATTCTAAACTGTGGCTAAATACCACCACTGTCCTCTCTCTCTCTCTCTCTCTCTCTCTCTCTCTCTCTCTTTCTCTTTCTCTCTCTCTCTCTCCCCCCTCCATCTTAGACACACACACACACACACGCACATGTGTGCCAAATACGGAAATGTGAAGACAGAGGTTCAGCTAGGTTAGGTAACTTTGCTAAAATCACACAACTAGTCTTACTTTGAACTCTGCTTTACAGTGAACAAATTAAATTTCTTATTGCTTTGAGAAATTGAACTGAGTGCGGTGGCTCACGTCTTTAATCCCAGCACTTGGAGAGGCTGAGGCAGGCGGATCACGAGGTCAGGAGTTTGAGACCAGCCTGACCAACATGGTGAAATGCCATCTCTACTAAAAATACAAAAATTAGCCGGGCATGATGGTGCATGCTTGTAATCCCAGTTACTCGGGAGGCTGAGGCTGAGAATTGCTTGATCCCAAAAGGCGGAGGTTGCAGTGAATCGAGATCCAGCAACTGCAATCCAGCTTGGGCTGTCGACAGAGTAAGACACTGCCAAAAAAAAAAAAAACAAAACACCATGTAAGAAAGAGAGAGAGAGAAATTGAATGAGAAAATAAGACTTAGCTATAGTAGCTGAGTGTTCAGAAAAAAAAAAAAAAATCCCTGAATCCCTCTGAATTCTAGCTTTCTCACTGCAAAGCAGGTTAATATTATCTACTTTACAAATATGTGAGGATTATATTCCAAAAGCTCCTTCTTACCCAGGTGTATTTTCCTCTGTGCTCTTCAGAAGGATTAGGACATATAATGAAAAGCCAGGAGGGGAAAGACACTCATTTGACGTGCACTAGTGTGAAGAGAACTGTACTAATGATAGATCTGGCTACAGAAACTCAATTGGATAGTTAAAAACAAACGTTGTCTCTCCCAGTAGTGATCAATTAGGGCTTTGTGACAAAGAAAAAGGATGCCATACTCCTGGAATCTATATAGACAACTATATTTGTTTTCTATTGCTGTATAGCAAATTTTCATAAATGTAATAACTTAGTACTCATGTATTACCTCAGGGTTTTATTTTGTTTTTGTTTTTGTTTTTGTTTTTCCCTGAAGTTTGACCACACCTTAACTGGTTCCTCTGGTCTGTGTCTGACGAGGCTGACATCAACGTGTCAGCTGCGAGACTGCAATCTTATCTGAAGTTAAAAGTCCCCTTTCAGCTCCTTGGTTGTTGCCACAATTCATTTCCTTGTAGTAGTAGGATAGAAGGTCTTGATTTCTAGAACTCATCCACTATTCCCTGCTACATGACCCTCTCCACAACATGGCAATTTGATATTCAAAGGCCAAGGAAAGCAAATCTACTACTGCTTCTTCTCTTTTACCTCTAGATCCTTTTTTAGAGGGCTCATGTCATTATGTCAGACCCACCTAGGATAATCTTTCTTTTGATTAACACAAATACAACTCAATGGAAACCTTAATTATATCTGCAAAATCCATTCGTCTTTGCATTATGAAGTGACCTAATCTCAGGAGTAATCTCATAATATCCATAGATCTTATCTGCAATTTAAGGGGAGAGGTTAAACATTGGGACCATGTTACAATTTCATCATTGTAGGCATTGGAGTTGTCTTCTTATTATCCATTTCACTTCTCTCACTTACATATCCGTCATTCAGTTTGGCTATAATACCTTGTCTCCTGGAGTGAGTCCTGATTAGAAAAAGCAAGGGACTTTCAAACATTTTTAACTTGGCAACCCACGATGATAAATACATGTAAAAATACATGTTGCATTACACTTTAATGCAGATACACACACACACACACATATATGCATATAACTGAAAAACACTTAGCTTTACTACGTGCAATTCACTCTATTCTGTTCTATTCTATTCTGGTCTACTTTAGTCTACTCCATTCCATCCTATAAGTAAACAAATGCTAGTTACACTTCAATAAATTGTTATAAAAAACCCATTAGTGCATCACCCTAGAAGCTGAAAAACACTGGAGTAAGCCATTCATTGTGATTCTATTATCTGGCCAGTGACTATTTTAAGAAAGCTGAGAATTTTGCCCCCCAAAACAAAGGCGGAATAAAAATTCAGAAGTAATGAGTCCTCCAGTGGGATAATTACTCGGTAAATTTGAGCAGATAAAAGCAAATACCTCAACCGGAATCTAGAATAAATGAGAATGCATGTAAAAACATATGCAAATATAATGGAAGACACTTTATAAATTATTATTTTGTTATCCCACCATGGCTGCCCTGGATCTTTAGTAAACCTTAGCAGAGTTGATGGTGTCCCTACTCATTCTATATACTCATCTCAAGTGAGTAAAGCAAGAATTGTGTCTGAAGCCTTGTCTAGCTTCATTTATTTTATGCTGCCATGCTTAGGAATATAATGGGAGACTTAGAAGCCAAGTCGGTGTCAGAATTGTATATGCACAGCGGCAGTACCGTTGTCTGAAATTCTGATTCAGAGGATCAGGTTTGTGTGCCAGGTGAAGATTAATTGTACAAATGTCAATCTTCTTGGGGGTTCATTAAATTATGATACTTAATTAACATCAATGTCAGTGAAAGAAAAAATACCCAAAGCTTCCCTAAAAGCTGTTCATATTCAAATATATGTTGATTGACGGAAGCCTATTGTTTCCCAGTGCCTAGTAATGTTCTTCACTGCATATATTACCTGGAGACTTCCCCAAACACTGAGATATTTGGAACTCTAATGAAAAAATAGCTTCTATTGTTAGGTGTAAAGTGCAATTTTATGAGCAGACCTAGTGCCTCTCCTTATCTATCCATTGAGTGTGTATCTACAACTTGATCGATTTCGACACATTCTTTACCAGCCAGTTATTGGTTACAGAATCCCATGAATAAAAATAAGAACCTATTTGTTGGTTGGCATATCGTAACATGTTAGCAAGACATGCTTTCAATTTATAAAGTATAATATTGACTTCATTCCTAGGTAATATAAAATGACAATAAAATGTAACTATGTGATTTATTCATTTAAATAAACTCATCCAATATAATTTAGAGTAACTTTGTAAAATACTTAGCAAGGGATCACTAAATAATGAAAATGATTAGGTCAGGTATAGTGTTAGACGTTACAGAAATCATGCTGCTGTCAAGTAGGGGTGTTAATGGAAACATGAATCTAGTCTCATCTTTCTTGAGACTTATTATTGGTTACATAAAATGCATTAGTTCTATGATATTTGTAAATAAAGGAAGGATTCTAAATTATGTTGCAGATTAGGAAGCAACATGAAGCCATGAAACATAATGAACAATTCCATGTTTATGGTGAATATCCATGATTATTTCAATGCATATTTGTGTGACTTGAGATGGGTAGGCTTTAGGAATTATGATCCTGTAGCAGGATAGGTAGATACCAGGGTAGAGACAGAAGACAAGCTAAATAAAAATCAAATGTATTCATTAGGAATCACAAAATATATAGTATATTTTTATTTAACATATGAATACATTGTTTATCAAGACTTCAGCATATAGCAAAAATGAATTATTTCTTTTCTTCTACCTCTAAATGACTTTAAAGTCATTGAGAATAATGCACTAGGGAACAGGCCTAGAAATAGAAAACAAAAATAGAAAAAATCATAAACAAGAGATCCTACAAACCAGTAATCGAAGTCCTAATGAGAAAGAAAAACTGTAAGAATAGACTGAAATAAAAGTTACAGTTGTAATATAATGTTAACCTCCAGACAAAATGTAATTAAGTGTAGACGCAAGAACCGGTTCCATAAATAGCTATCCATAATCATATACAATTGGCATGCCATTATTTTCTATTAGAAAAAAAAACATGAGAATAAAATACAATATTAAATGATAGCATTGAGTTCCTAATTAAGTCTTCAGCTGAATTAAGTAAGCATCTTCCTTTCACTTTTTCTTTATGTCTTGTGTATAGGCTGTTAAAGATGCTTGGCATAATTACAGTCAAAATAGATGTATTTTTGCCTGTTCTGAACAACAAGAAGTTTGGCAGGAAATTAAGAACCCAAACCACAGCCAAACTGCTGAATCCTTGAAATGTTCAAGGATTCAAGCAAGAAAACCTATGGCCTAAACTGGAAAAAAATATTAATTGTACATTTGTGACCTCTTCTTTCTCCAGCACATAGTTTACAACAACAAATTCCTGCCACATAAAAAGGAATCTGCTTACTGGCACCCAACCATAAGCAGTTTAGCCTGATGAATATGTATTGTAGGATTCTTATTAACATTCCTTATATTCCTAAATTTTAAATAAATTATTAAATCCTTCACCATTTGTAAAGGGTGACTGTTTCCCCTCTAAACTGGTCACATTTCATTAGATCATCACACTTTGGCCTTCCTTAATAAGCACAAAATCTCTATACTGCAGTTTCTAAAAAGTCTCAGTTTCATGGCTGAGGGAACACATCATGGGATAGGAAGGCTTTTGCCTCTAAGTTTTACATGTAAATTCAGTGTCTATTGTCAGTGATCAAGTATTATGACATCTCATGATCATTCTAGAACTGACACAAAATATTTAGTTGCCTCAATTTAATTTTTAGGAAGATGTTATTTTTATTACTTTAAAACCATAATTGACTGAAAGCTTCAACTGAGTCTACAGTTAAATGAGTTAAGGCATAAGTTTTGCTCAGAGTCTTTGCTATTTATGGACATTCTAGTTCAGTTGGGAAGCTTGTGCTCCCTTCTGCAATTTCTAAGAATTGTAGGAAAACACACACACACACACACACACACACACACACACACACACACGCGCGCGGTATCAGAACTCAAAGTTTTCAAATGAGATATTACAATAATAAGAAAAGTTAGAAATAGTTTAAGCTATAAACTTTTGAAGAAAGTTATGGTTTACCTGTACTTGGGACTTTTGGTTCTGGTCATGATGAAGTAGCTGATATTCTTATGATAGGAGTCTTATCATCCTATAAAAAACAACTACAAATATTAAAATTTTACATGAAGTAACTTTTTCAAGGTTAGCAAAAACAGAGGGTAATATTACTTCAGAGAAGCTGAAAACATGCTTATGAGATATTGTCCTATGTTAAATATTCAAAAGCCTAGCATCTAAAAATATTTTTCTTAATTTAGTTTTTTTTTTTTTTAACTTTTATTTTAAGTTCAGGGACATATGTACAGGTTTGTTACATAGGTGAACTTGTGTAATGGTGGTTTGTTGTACAGAATTTTTCATCATCCAGATATCCTTAATAAGGATAACGGAGGCCATTATCCTTAACACAGTGACACAAGAACAGAAAACCAAATTCTGCATATTCTCACGTATAAGCGGAAGCTAAATGATGACTACATTTATATATTTCAGTTTAGAAACATTGTCAAATCATTCCAGAAATACAAACTCACAATTTTTTTATAACTACATTCATAAAATTATTATTGTTTAATGACAACACTTATTATTGAATTGCAAATACAATTATATTTTTCCTCAGTAGAGAGATATTAAAAGCAAAATGAAAAATAATAATAAAATATAAGGGAAGTAGAACTTTGCAATGTTTACAGGCAAAATTTTTCTCAGCTTTTTTTTTTTTTTTTTTTTAGCTTGGTAAACCAACTTCTCATATGATAGTATATTACTTCTCATTGCCTCAGCAAAACTATTTTTGAATCTACAAAGCCTTTGCCACCATCCTATTCAGGGAAATCTATCACAGTTTTGCAAATCACTCAAATTTTGCAGAAAATTATAATGCTGAAAATGATCACACAAGGCTTCATTTTAGCTTCAGCCTAGTTCTGTTCTTGGATATCAGAATATATTGCAGGTGCTTAATCCTAAAATGACTCTATACAATTTGCTTCTTTCTATCAATGAAATAGTTATTTCCTTTAAAAATAATCAATCTCATATCAATCATATGATTATATTTTATATACTCTGTATAATTGTAATATATTAAAATGTTCTTTTTTACATTATTTAAAAAGTTGATATATATGGTGCTAATATAAAATTTAATAGTGAAATATTACATTATGAGGATACTCTAACTCTAAATCTATCTACCTTAAGATTGAACAATATTATCACAATTTGCTAGAAGGTAATGTAAGCAGTTTAAAAGTAAGGAAAAAATTTATTGAATGAAGTTACAAATTGATCCATAAAAGATAAATGATGGACTTGGGAAATAAGGCATATTTTGTGCAGGTAACAGCTAATATTATTGTCCATGGCTTTACATATAATTTTGGAATTGTCATAGAAAGAAAGTCCTTTTTTTTTTTTTGCCACTAACTACTTGCTTCTATCAAAACTTGAAACTTATTTTAAAGATATCACTTATCATGGACTTTTAAATTGCTTTTCAGCAATGCATATTTTAAAATATCCTAAAGAATACTTCTTCAAATACAAGTCTAAAATATTCCAATAGCTTTATAAAACTACATACAAATGAGGAAATAGTCCTAGTAGGACACTGAGGTAAAATTAACAATTAGAAGTTAACATGTGAGGTACTAAAAGTTATTGAAAATAGATTTGTTTTATGTGGGTTTTTTGACTCCTAAAATATTAATGTCCTGATTACTATAAAAGTTCTAGACAAACTGTATGTAAAGTTTATAAATCACCAACTAATTGTTGCTATAACTATACATATTCTTATATAGATTCTCACTTATCTACCACAACCAGATTTCTGTTTTTATAATCCAGAGAGAAAACTTTGCTAAAATTCTCATATGAGATAGGTATAGAATAAAGCAAATATAGGAAACCTTTGCTTCTTCTTTTCACTTTGGCTGGCATGAAAAACTTAATGCTGAGAGAGTTCTATTCTTCTGAAAACGGTAAAGAGCAAAAAATTTCTGGTCATTTTCTAATGACTCCTGCTGCTAAGTTGGTATCATTAGAAACAGACCTATTTTGATGCTTATGCCTGTAGTGATTCTTGCATATTTATTTCTTAATTATTTGGATTAACTATAAGAGGCCAAATGCATTTGAGCTACAGTTTTTCACAATTGTGTAGTTTCCAAAATATTCTCCTCTGCTCATAAGATATATCCTCAATGGCCAAATCTTTTGCAGGAAGAAAATTCTGGTAATTAACTTACTTCAAACCGAAGAGCCAAGGTAAGCCTTGAAAATAAGTTCTTGGATCATGTGGGAAAACAGGAAATGTCTAATATTTTAAAGGATAATATTGGTATAGTGTTAAATAAACCTAATACCCATTTATCCTACTTGTGAGCTTTGTGCTAGTTTTATCATAGCCCTAATTATTAGATTTATCAACTTTTAAATGAATTTGTTTATTTATCAAGGAATTTATTACTTCCAAGAAAAAATCAAACAGCATGTGAAAAAATAAATAAATAAAGTATGGTCATGGTGGAATATTAACATTTTTATTATTAAACATTTATTCTTAAAATATTTAATATATTAAAATATATGTCATAATAACCAAAGATGAATCAGGCAACAGGCCTCATGGTATCTAGAAACAAAGACTCATAAAGATATAAATCAAAAATGAACCAAGGATATTCTCTGTGATATCTAGGGATACATGGTCTCACGTCTTCACTTCTCTTTCTGTACTGTCTCTTTATTTGTTCTCTCTGCAGATTGTTTTTATGTGCTCACTTGCATGAAGCAGATTTTTATCAATCAAATTCTGATATTAGTAACATAGTACATTTAATAATCTGCAAAATAATCTTTACACTTTACTTATTAGGTTACTGTTCATATTTATGTTGATAATACAATTTCAAATCATTTTATAAATATAGGATAAAGCAAACAAGTAATTATATTAATATTGTTAGGAATTAAAGTTTAAATGTAATTGAAAAGAGATACAAATATAAGTTCAAGAAAATTAACTAACAACCTATAATAACTAATTTAATTTGGATACTTTCATATTAACTCATAATATTTATAAAATATGTCAAAGAGATAACTGCACTTCCATGTTAATTATGAAATTGTTTACCAACAGCCAAGATATGGAATTAACATCAATCAATGAATGTAAAAAGAAAATATTGTATACATTTGTATATGTGTACACATGAACACAAAAATGGCACATTATTTAGCTTAGAAAAGAAAATCCTGCAATTTGCAACAGAATGGATAAACACGAAGAACATTATGCTAAGTGAAATAAGCTAGGATAGTAATGTATGATGTCACTTATACATGGAATGTAAAAACTTTGAACTTATAGAAACAGAGAGTGTCATGGTGGTTACCAGGGATTGGGGGAAGGTGGAAGATTGAGATGAAAGATATTGGTCAAAGGATACAAGATTTTAGTTAGACACAGAATCAAAATCATTCAAATGGCTATACTGCCAGAAGCAATTTATAGATTCAATGTTATTTCTATTACGCTACCATTGACATTCTTCACGGAACTAGAAAAAACTATTTTAAAATTCAGATGGGTTAAAAACAAAAGAGCATGAATAGCTAAAGCAATCCTAAGCAAAAAGAACAATGCTGGAGGCATCACACTACTTAACTTCAAACTATACGAGAGGACTACAGTAACCAAAACAACATAGTACTGGTACAGAAACAGACATATAGACCGATGAAACAGAATTGAGAACCCAGAAATAAGACCGTACCCCTACAATTATCTGATCTTCAAAAAACCTGATAAGAACAAACAATGGGGAAAGAATTCCCTATTCAATAAGTGGTGCTGAGATAACCGGCTAGTCATATGCAGAAGATTGAAACTGGATCCCTTCCTTATACCATATACAAAAATTAACTCAAGATGGGTTGAAGATTTAAATGTAAAACCACAAACTATGAAAACTCTGGAAAGCAATACCTTTAAGGACATAGGCACAGGCAAAGAATTCATGAGGAAAATGCCAAAAGCAATTGCAACAAAAGCAAAAATTGACAAATGTGATCTAATCAAACTAAAGAGCTTCTGCAAAACAAAAGAAAGCATCAACTTAGTAAACAGCCTATAAAATTGGAGAAAATTCTTGCAAACTATGCATTTGACAAAGGTCTAATATTCAGCATCTACAAGGAACTCAAATTTACAAGAAAAAAAAAATGTGAGCAATGGACATGAACAGACACTTTTCAAAAGAAGATATACATATAGCCAACTCATATGAAAAAATGCTCAATATCATTGCTTATTAAAGTAAGGCAAACCAGAGCCACAATTTGATACCATTTCACAACAGTCAGAATGGCTACTATTAAAAAGCAAAAAGAAAAAATAAACAGATGCTGGCAAGGTTGTGGAGAAAAATAAACACTATACAATGTTGGTGGGAGTGTAAATTAGTTCAACCATTGTGGAAGACAGTGTGGTGATTTCCCAAAGACCTAAATGCAGAAATACTATTTGATTCAACAATTCTATTACTGGGTATATACCTAAAGGAATATAAATAATTCTATTATACTGTAAAGATACATGCACATGTATGTTCATGGCAACAATATTCACAAAAGCAAATACATGGAATCAACCTAAATGTCCATCAATGACAGATTGAATAAAGAAAATATGGAACATATACACCAAGGAACACTATGCAACCATAAAAAAGAATGAGATATGTCTTTTGCAGGGACATGGATGGAGCTGGATTCTGTTCTCCCTAGCAACAAACATACGAACAGAAAACCAAATACTGCATGTCTTCACTTATAAGTGGTAGCTAAATGATGAGAACACATGGACACATAGAAGGGAACACCACACACTGGGGCCTATAAGAGGATGGAGGGTGAGAGGAGGGAGATCAGGAAAAATCACTAATGGTTACTAGGCTTAATACCTGGGTGATAAAATAATCTCTACAACTCAGCCCCATGACAAGTTTACCTATGTAACAAACCTGCAAATGTACTCCTGAACTTAAAAGTTAAAAAAAAGAATCAAGTGAATGAAAGAAGGACAGAATAGAGGGAGAGACAGAGAAGGAAAGGTTGAAGAAATAAAAAGTCACAAGCTCTTCAGGACCCTCAGGTGGAAGGACTGCTTAAGTTTGGGCGTTCAGTCCTGCAGTGAGCTATGATCGGCACTCTAGCCTGTGCAATAGAGTGAGACCCTGTCCCCCAAAGAATAAGAAAAAGAAAGGCCGGGCGCGGTGGCTCAAGCCTGTAATCCCAGCACTTTGGGAGGCCGAGACGGGGCAGATTGGATCCGAGGTCAGGAGATCGAGCCATCCTGGCTGACATGGTGAAACCCCGTCTCTACTAAAAAATACAAAAAACTAGCCGGGCGAGGTGGTGGGGCGCCTGTAGTCCCACTCAGCCTGGGCCTCAGAGCGAGACTCCGCTCAAGAAAAAGAAAGCCATGATTTTCTAAAAAAAAAAAAAAAAAAAAAAAAAAAAAAAAAGCAAGAATAATAAAAGCAAATTAATATAAAACAAATGTTCATCTTAAAAAAAAAGAATTTTAAAAAAAAAAAAAAAAAAAAAAAAAAAAAAAAAGAATAATAAAAGCAAATTAATATAAAACAAATATTCATCTTCAGAAGTGGTTACAACACCAATTTCTTACTCTAAAAATTGATAATTAAATGGAAACCAGACATTTACTTTGTGTAATGAGAAGATACAGTGAATCCCAAGTGGTGAGGAAAATGTTTTTACAGAACAACATTAGCTAATAAATTCTTTTTAAAAAGACATTTTTCAACTGTTAATGAAATGATTGACTCAGGCAAAAATTATCATTCACCTAAAATTAAAGAGGAATTATTTTGGAGAAGAGGATTCACGTGATCATTAAATGTCACTTCCAGATTATTTGCAATTTGAAAAATATTTTAAAAAATAATGGAGAACATTTGGTGGTCACTGCCTAAGTGAAGTAATCAAATTTATCATCACCAACAGGGGGAAAGTTAACAATAACTGTTTTCTGCAGAATTCAATAAATAGTACATTTCCTAAGAAGTATAGTGTGTTCCGCTACAATACAAACCTTTATGAAGCGAATTAGCTTATACTGACTGGAAAAATTGGAAAATAATATCAGTAAAACATAGACGGTGTGCTGGTTCAAATATTACTGTTCCTAGCCAAGAAGAACCAAAACAGCAGGAGTAGAATCGTTACCTCAAGCAATATTGCCAGAGAACATCCTGACACATAGAAGACAAGCTCAATGCTTGATGTGAAAAGTTATCTGCACGTACAGGACCAGTCCATAATACAAGTAGGTGTATTCAGATGAGGGCTGGGGGATACAAATGGAACACCATCAAAATTTGCTGTGATCTTTTGAGGAGTGTCTGTTCATGTCGTTTGCCCACTTTGTAGTGAGGTTATTGTTTTTTTGCTTGTTGAATTGTTTAAGTTTCTAAACAGATGAAAAAAATGCTCAACATCACTAATCATCAGATAAATGCAAATAAAAGCCAAAGTGAAATAACATCTCACACCACTGAGAATGATTATTATTAAAAAGAAAAAACAACAGAGGCTTGTGAGGCTACAGAGGAAAGTGAATGCTTATACACTATTAATGGGAATGTAGTTTAGTTTAGCACCTGTTGAAAGCAGTTTGGAGATTTCTCAAAGAACATAAAAGATAAATACCATTCTACCCAGCAATCCCATTACTGGTTATATATACAAAAGAAAATAAATTCTTATCAAAAGGACACATGTACTTGTATGTTTATCACAGCACTGTTCACCATAGTGAAGACATGGAATCAACCAAGGTGATTATCAAAAGGGGAATGGATAAAAAAAAATGTGGTAGATATACACCATGGAATCCTATGCTGCCACGAAAGAGAACAAAATCATGTACTTTGAGGCAACAGCATGGATGCAGCTGGAAGCCATTATCCTAAGTGTATTAACAGAAGAACAGTAAACCAAACAACACATGGTCTCATTTGAAAGTGGGAGCTAAACATGTGTACTCATGGACATAAAGATGGAACAATAGATTACGAGGGCTAACAGGATTGAAATACTGATGAGTGGTATCCTCACTGTCTGGGACACAGGATCATTTGGACCGCAAACCTCAACATCATGCAACACACCCATGTAACAAGCCTGTACAGGTACCTCCTGAACCTACAAAAAAAATTTTGACTTTTTTTTTTTTTTAAGAATTTACTGCAATCTTGGAAAAATTTTTCTTCAAAGTCTTCCAAAAGCATTTTCACTTTGTATTTATATTTAGAAATTCAAGCCATCTAAAATGAAATCTTGCATATGGTCTGACAGGTGCCAACATTATTTATATATATATATCCAGTTGAGGTGGCATTATTTATTGAGAAGATGAAGCTTCCTCTATGGCTCTACAGTTTCTCCTTTGTCATAGATTAAGTTTATCCATTTTTGTGGGTTTGTTTGTAAACCCTGTATTCTGTTCCACTGGTCTATTTATCAACCCTTGTTTCAATCCACACTGTTTACTTAGTAAAGTGTTATAAGATGATTTTTAGCTAGTAGTATAAAATCTCTGATTTGTAATTATTCGAGATTGACTTTATTATTTCCTGCTTTGTGTTTCTACATAACTTTTAGAATCAACTTGTCATTTCCCATCCCCTATAAAAAACACTACCATTTTTATTGGGATTATGTTGCATCTATATATATGAGAGAATTGTCTTCTAATTCATAAATATAGTACATCCCAATTTATTTTATCTGTTCTAATATCTCTTAACAATGATTTATTTTCTACTTGAAGTTTTGACTTAGCCTTCATTAGATCCACGCCATTATAAATGGTATCATTAAAAAAAAAAACAACAACTTTCTAATTGTTTGTTGCTAGTATATATGTAACTACAATTTATTTTTACACTAGCTTCATGTCCAGTAGAGTGATCAGCTCAATTAACTAATCCCAATAATTTGAAGTATTTTTTTAAAATTTTCTATTAAAAAAAATCATTTCTGCATATAAGTTGATTTTTATTTCTGCAATATAATCATTTGGCTTATTGTACAGGCCAGGCTTTGCCAGATAATTATTAACAGGTCATAGGAGATATCCTTATCTCATTACAGAAGTCATATATCTTCCCTTATTTCACCATTAAATCTGATATTTCTTTTCATTTTTAAAATAAATGCCTTGTTTCAGACTAGAATATATCTTCCTTTATTTCACCATTAAATCTGATATTTCTTTTCATTTTGAAAATAAATGCCTTGTTTCAGACTAAGAAAATTCTATTTTATTTCTAGTTTTCTGTTATTTAATATGACAAATGTGTTTTGAGATGATTATGATAATTCTCCTTTTTCATTAATTTAGAAAATTGTATTAATTGATCTAAAAATTTTAAGCCACCCCTGAAGTCCTGGAATCAATTCATTTTTTTAAAATTACACAGTGTATTTTTATTAATTGATACACTTTTCTTGATAATATTTTGTTTATCATTGTACCTAGTCATGAAAGATATTATATTTTTAGGATGTTGGTATCAAGGTTATGCTGGACTCATAAAAATAATGTGGTATATTCTCAGTTTATAAAAGTGGCTATTTAGGACTGGTATAATTTATTATTTGTTTAAAGGTTTTCATATGGAGTTTCTTCTGGATATGGAATTTTATTCAGATAATGGTTTTAATTAGATTCAATTCTAATAGGTTTCTAAATTTCATTCTAATTGGGTTTTTTATTTCTTCTATCAGTTTTGGAAATCTGTGTTTTTTCTTAGAATTTTATTTAATTTTTTCTATTTATTGGCATAAATTTGTTTATAATATTCTGATTTTTTTGATTATGTATTCCCACAATCACCCTGTGAAACAAACTACCTTAAGATTTACCGGCTTAAAACAATATATACTGCTTTGTGTGGATGGGTGTTTTTTTGTTTTCGTTTTTGTTTTTTGATCTGATGAACTACATAAATTCATTAATTTTAGTTTAAATGTAGATTTGTTTGTATTTTCTGTGTGAAGACATCAATTTATGTGAAAATAGTAAAAATTTTCTTTCTCCCTTTTCACTATTACATGTTTACTTATTTATTTATTTAATTTATTTTTCTCGAATTTGTGTTTTCTGCTTGGCAACATGGCACAGTTCTTGTAGTCTGAGCTGGGCTTGGAGGGATCATTTATGCAGCAGCAGTCATCGTGTTAAGCTGAGCAGCTCTGCTTTTCTTGACTGTGCCCTCTTACATTTCTGGAGCCTCTGCTATGCCTTTATGGCTTGAATGGCTCTGCTTCACATGGTTTCTCATCCATGTGAACCAACTTGAGCTTGTTCATAAGGAGAAAGTAGGGGCCTATCAGAAAGAGGGAGAGAGAGTAGAAGCGTGGAAGGCCTTTTGAGACCTTTGCTTAGAACTCACACATCAGCATTTTACACCACATTTTGTCAGTCAAGAAAACTACAAGACCAACTTCACAGGATGTGTAAGTAGAATCAACCTTTCTATAGGAGGACCTGCAAAGTCACATTGTGAAAGAAAAGATAGAGGGGAAAAGCATAGAAGCCATTTTTGCAGTCAATCTACCATACTCATTTTCTTTTCACTTTTGTTGATGTAATGTTTTTATTCTTTTCATTGTTAATATTTGTGCCCTTTTAATACCTATTTTTAGTCCAGTTTTATGGGATTGTTAATGTTAATTTTTTAAGAAAAGAAAAATTGGACTTGTAAATTATGTTTTCTCATTTGTTGACTTTCTAGTTCATGAAATTCTGCTCTTTTTAAAATAATATTTGTTATTTCCTTTTTCAATTTTTTAATCTTTTTTATTTTTATTATTTCCATTTTCAATTTGGGGGAGCATTAATTGGCTGTTTTAACTTTTTGCAGACATTTTTAAGTAACTGACTTAAACGTACTTTTTTGCAATATATACATTTCAAAATATTTTCTACTTTCCAATGTTTTCTACCTTGACAAATAAGCTACTTATGTGAATCTCTTTTTTCTATCATAGTCACGAATTTTATTATTTATTTTTCTTAGTTCTATGAGCCTCATGCTAAATTGCTAGGTTTGAAAATTTTTGAGTAAGAACTGGATATTAGATGATTTTAGGAAATTACTGCTAATTTTATTAGGTGTGCAAATGACTTTTATATAGGCAAATATTCTTAGAAAATGCAACATGAAGGATTTAGAGAAAAAGAAATCTGACATCTGAAACCTATGAGCAAATGTATAAAACAAGATGTGCTAAAACAATTGAGTACATAACATGTATATAATATAGTTAAAATGTAACAATTACTGAATCTAGACATCAAGTATACAGATATTACAGTATAATTCCTATAATATTCCTGTATGTTTAAAGCTGTCATAACAAAAAATGTTGGTAAAAATTTAGAAATGATGTGAACCTCTTTCTGAACTTGTTTTTTAGAGATCTCAACATGTTGACTACCGGTAGTAAAGGCTTCTTACTGCAGGATGTATGTGTTTCTTTTTGTGTGCTAGTACTGCCAATCCAGCAATTAAATTAATTATTTTCTCAAAATCTTGCCTAGTATTTTGATAAGTACTTGTCTAACCCACATATTTCTGTATTACTAATCCATTTGGACTATCCTATAGAAGAAAGTATTTGGTTCCCCAATTTTACAACCTTAGTGGGCATATAGTGTTGAGTGACTACAGATGAAAACTTCTTATTTCCCAATTTAAGACGTAAGGCCAGCTTGACCCAAAAGTAATTCTACATTCTTTATGTTTTCTCTGAGAATGTATTGCAATTCCAACACAAGTAATAAATACTGATATCTGAGTCTTGTTTAATTTCAATGACCATAAGCCTGCTCAAGTTTGCCCAAGTAAAGTGAGATTTATTAAGCACATATTAATAAAATAAAAGCCAATTAGGGCATCAGAAAGAAAAAAGGTGGACCATCATATTTTGATAATAGATTGGTTTTAGCTTTTTTCTCTGTCTTAACTATCTTCTTATCTTTTCAGAATCTTTGTCTCCAGTTTGTCAGAAGAGACTATCTGATTGATTCAATCAATTGATGGATTGGTCATCATTGGAAGAGTGTTCTTCCTCATCCATTCAGATGTCCTTATGTGAGAGGGAGGACATATATTATATATTCAAATGGGAAAACCATAGTGGTTTTCAATTCTAAACTGGAAAAGCAAAATAATCATGTCTGCATTATATGAATTTAGCTGTTGTTTTATAATAAATGATAGGAGCATTTTTATCTTATCTTGTTTGTGTCATGATCAGCTGTTGGGAATGGGAGGCTTCCCTGTATATTAGTTCATTGGTATTATAAGAAATGCCTCAGACCTTCATCAAGATATAACAAAATATATCTTGATGTTTAGATAAAATAGAACCTCAGCAATAATAGAATTGTAATTACAGCAATAATAGAATCTTCTCAGTTATCTGATCCATGAGTTTGCCACAGGAATTTCCTTGAAGTTATGCAAAAGATGAGAGAAAAGATTTGCATTCACATCTATCATTCTACAATAACACGAGTCATGGGAACTTGTTGTATCTTAAGGAAGGTTTGAATAGATGCACTTTGGTTGGACCCACCTATCTCATGGAAGCAATTTATTCAATTTAGTAAACATATATCTATTACAACCTAAAAATGTTATGTTTTGTAGTAGGATTAATTAAAAAATCACTGCACTCCACCCTGGGCAACAGAGTGAGACTCCGTCTCAAAAAAAAAAAAAAAAAAAAAAAAAAAAAATTCAATATCCTCATACAACTTAAATTTTTTATGATTATAAAATACACATTAATTTGTGAACAATGGTGTTCATATGCGAAAAACTGTTAATATTGGTGATATAAAATGTAAAAGAGTAGTACTTAGCATGAATTGTTAAGTAACTTTTCTAGGCATGATACATAATGGACTTTACAAATGCATAAGTTTTGGATAAATAGAGAGGAAGAGGGAAACACAAAAAGAATGGAGGAATGCCATAAGTAAAGTGCAATGAATTGAAGATAGGGCACTATGAGAATATAGGATAAAATGTTATTATTTTACAATAATTTTTGGAAAAAAGTAAATTAAACATATCCTCTCCACCATAACTTTATGGAAAATGCTGTTGTGCTTTGTGGACTCGGGATTGAAAAATTATGCAGAAAAATTCTGATGAATCTGAAAGAGATTTTTATTTCTTTGCCAGTCTAACAGAAAACTTAATGACTCAATCAAGATATGTCATTTTGTGATTCAATATGATTTATTTTCTCAAATACAATCCAAATACTAAAACAAGCACAAAGAGATACTATGGATTATGTTCACTGCTTCTTGGGAAAAGTACAGTGAATGGTTTTACTCAATTTTATGTTCATTGTTTTTCAAATGTTATCATAAAAATCTAATAAAAACCCTATTAAATAATGTGTTTTCATTAAAAATATCACAGTTTCTAGGGGTCTTTTTATTTAAAGTATTAAGAGTACTTTTGCCTATTTTTCCTAGGAAACTTGATAACCCTGAAAATTCCTTTTCATAGGAGATCATAAG